GCCAAATGGCCCCGCGCTGGTTTTCCCCCAATACGTGCAGACGCATCCATGCCACAGATTACATTTAAATATCCATCTATCTTCCAAACATTTAGGCAGCGCAGGGGTGGGGGGGGGGGGGGGAGCCAATTCCAGGCAGCAGAGGGCACAAAGCAGGAGTACAGTCCCTAGATGGGGATCTGAATGTAATAGCTGTCCATCACATATTCATTATTGTATGTACTCTGTATTACAGGTTACATATGGATAGTGGGTCATTATACGTCTGGCAGCACCTGTTACACTAAACAATAATCCTCTAATGTCCTACTACGTCCCCTTTCAGACGTCTCTCGCTCAGTGTATATTATTTGCCGTAGATCTCGGACATAAATGCGAGCGGACATGACTCAATCAGGCCTAACTCCACGTAAGGCCATGACATTGCTGCCGTACTGGGCTCCCCGATTACTTTTCCCTGAGGAATACATAACAGCACCAGCAAGAATCCAAAGAGCACTGCCTTTGGGAGGGTGGGGAGGTGCAGGTGATGAAATTAAATTTGCCAAGCGGGGAGGGGGGGGGGCATTGATGACACACACAGGCCAAACAAACTTATTTGTGCCAAATTTGTGTTTATACAGGTAACAAGATAACTGATTAAACAAAAGTTTGACACAAATTCTTAATATTTCGTGTAGTAGTGCATATATTTTTTAAATAGATCCTAAATCCTGCTCTTACCAAGATCCAGGCAATCAAAATTTGTCATGTAAACATAACAGGAATTACGACTAGATACTAGCAAGTAAATAGGAAGTCAACACCTGTGCTAAAGTGATTTGTTTATGTACTTTCTGATTATTTCATTAATTATTATTTAGAAACAGTATTTATTTTCGCTACTGCTCTGGATGATTAACTGATCATGCAATGAAGCAGGCCGCCTGCTTCATTATTTAAATTTAAATATATTATGGAAAGGTAAGTATATATTGCTGTCTAATGTTGTACAGCATAATCCAAAATGTTTTTGATTGCACTGCTTCACAACATGCCTTAGTGAAACTTTTTTTTTTTTGGTGCAATATTTAATTAATTTGTAATTCCTGTTGGCTGTTTAAATTTTTTATTGATCAGTTGTTTTCTGTATTGTCCAGTGGGGGCACTATACCTTTAGCAAATCTTTAGCTTCACATTTCGTACGTTAAGTTTATAGTTAGCGAACTACGCTTATTCAGTGCGGATACAGATTTAGCTACTTGTCCAGCCGGGTGCTTTGCTGGCGTCATGATGAAATGAGACTATGAAGGACACTCCTGCGAGGGCCGTGACTTTAACCGTTACGTAACCCGCTGCCGGGTCGCTGTGCTGCTTATTGGGGCCGTGTTTGTCCTGTTAAGGGTCCCGCTCGGCCCACGTTTCGCTCCGGCGATCCGCCACGCTCCGGAAGTCCGGAGCGATTGGCCGGGACCGCACGCGTGCCACAACCTCAGCTGGAAGCTGAGAACCGTTTGCAGGGAAGCAATTTGGGAAGTGTCAAAGAGCACATCCGGCCCCTCTCAGCCAGATTAGGGCTTCTTATCCTGCTGGATCGCTGACAGACGCCACAGTCATGCTTCAAATGCGGGAGCTTTGCATGTTTAAATGGGTGACAGAGAAACGCCGGTAGCTTATATATAAACACCAAGCTGACGATCGCAAACGGCGCAGTAAAACCGATCTGCGTCATAGCCAGAGGTATGTCAGCCCTCTGATCATCCTAACAAACAGCCTCCCCTTCATTAATGCCTGCTACCTGTCATTTGGCACAAAGGCAGAGGACAAACAATGGTGGGGACAAATCAGTGCCCTTAAATGGAAACGCAATCTTTAAAAGTCACAATCAATTTTCTGTCACGTGAAGAATTCCAATGCTGGGAAACATTATTCCTTGTGTGCTAGTAAATTCACTAACGCGTAAATAACACAGACACCCCCTAGCAAACTGAATAATTCCATGAATTCCAAATGTACATTAGATCAGAAAAACAGCATTTTTTTCCCCCTACATATCAAAAAAAGGAACAACACATATTCCAAGACTAAATTATGTGGATTCAGCACAGGAGCAGCCCAGGAACCCTTGCGAGATGGATCAGTTCCAGAATCATCCTACTTACATTATACATTGTGCCAGCAACTTGCTTATCTGGCAGATTCATGAAAGAGCACTTAGATGTTGATTACACGATGCAGAGAGAATGCATGGCAGCTACAGCAGGGGAACCTGGTCCATTGATCCAAGTGGTTAAGAATCACTGTTTTATTATTGGCTGACAGAGGTCGTCCCAAAAACCCGCACCGCCCCTCCATGGATCAGGTTCCCCACCCCTGTTCTTTACCAATAACTATTCTCTTCTTGATATTTCAGCTTGATACCACCTAGACCACCAGTCAGAAGTGTTTGTACACCATGGGTTTTTACCACTTTTACTTTTATTTCATAAACTGCAGATTTTTAAATTCTTGTTTAGCATTGGAAATTTGAGTGAACGCATATAAAGGAAAATATAAGTTTCCTTTATAACATGGAAAGAGTTTGTAACAGGGCATGTCTGACACCCTATTAACTGGTTGTGTGGTGATGGCAGATTCTAGGCCGTCCTTTAACTTTAAATACACTAGTTACCTGTTTCATCCCATGAAACAGAGCAGTATTTAATGTCACTTGTAGGAAGAACGGCTCGAATTTTCTCTGCTGTTATAACTGCTAGAGGAGGTTACGTGATGCATCAAAGATATGACATTTTCTTGCTAATAAAGGTACTGAAATGGTGAACATACTGTAAATTTGTTTGTTAGTAAAGAATATCGAGTGTATTTTTAGCAAATGTTAAGTGAGTAACATGCTGACGTAGAAAATCTCAGTGTGTGCAAAAGCTGTCGACTGGTAGTGCATATGGTTTTGTAGCCTTTCCTTGTATCTCATTTATGACTCTGGTCTGGAGACTGAAAGAGGGTCAGAGGATAATGATTTCTGAGACTGGTCTCATGGTGCCACCCTACAGGGATCACCACTGTGCTGACCATGACCACCATCAACACACACTTGCGGGAAACGCTTCCCAAAATCCCCTACGTCAAAGCCATCGACATGTACCTGATGGGCTGCTTCGTCTTCGTCTTCCTCGCCCTGCTGGAGTACGCCTTAGTAAACTACATCTTCTTCGGTCGAGGGCCACAGAGGCAAAAAAAAGCTGCAGAAAAAGCAGCCACCGCTAACAATGAGAAGATGAGGATGGAGGCCAACAAGGTACAAGCTAAATTTGCCTGCGTCGAATAAGAGTGTCTTTATTTATCGTGTGGTTGTATTATTGTAGTATTAAATTTATTAGTATCAGCATATTATGTGATTGTTGCGATTATCAGTGCTGGGGGAAACGCTGATTTTAATATTGAAACTCTGTAGCTGTAATGATCATCAATGTTATAAATAGGCTAATTGGATTTTTAATAAAAGTAGTTAAAAGATCATGGGAAATATTAAACGGTTAATCAAAAATGAAAATTGCTGACAGCCTGCAGATCTCAATGTTTGTTCTGCTGACGCTCGAGTCACCGAGACAGTATTCGAAAGCAAGATGTTTAAATTAAAATTCACAAGTATCCTCCAAGATGGCCGCAGTTTCAGTGCCTGATATCTTGATTGGTTTTCTTGCCGCATCGTGAATGGTAGTGTACCGTGCCTGTCTGGTCTGTTCCCATGTCTTCACTGTGATTTCACTGTCTGACTTTCTGATTTTTTACACTGCATTGGTGCACACAGGAACTGCTCGTTACCCAAAGATAGAAGCGACATCTAAAATGAATTTAATTCCTGTAGCGGTTACGTGCCCTTACATACGTAGAAAAAACATTGAACCAATACAAACAAGCAATAAACGATGATGAGTGAGTGTTTTAGTTACGCTTCACATACTGGAGTTTGTTCTTATACAGTCTGTGAATAACTTTATAGTGCAAGTTAATAGCGTGCATTGAATTAAAAAAAGGTTAGCATCTCAAAGTGGGAAACTAGGTAACATAACACTTCAGGAAAACAGACCAAATATGGATTAGTACAAGATTTTTTTGTTTGTTTTGCATTAAAATGATTTTATATTTTAGGAAGGTGTGATGTTGTACCTCATTTGATGTTTTTGTTAGTTTTCCTTTTGATTTATAATTATTATATTGTATTATAAAGTCATTTTACTTACATTTTGATGACAATCCATATACAAGTGACATCGCAATCTAATAAAGCAACAGCAGTAATTGTTTCATCCTGTGCATATTGTTGTAAAAACCAGGTGTCAAAGACACAACAGTCCAGCAGCCAGTCATCTTAAGCATTGTGCACTTGATGCAGTGGAGAAAGACCTTTGCACAATTAGTCACATCACAAACAGATTGTTTGCAGCATATGTTTTGTCTAGAAAAGCAGACGATGCAGCCGTCTCTGAGGTGAGAGGTCTGCACGGAAGAGTGAGTTGAGGGATGCCTGGGACCTCGTTTTGCGGATCAAATCCCAAAATGCCTGCATCCTCTCAAACTCCCTTTAGTCGATGTAGTTTGCTGTGAGAATTGTAACTTCACCCTTCTTTCTCCTATATACGTTCTTTTTTGCAACTGACCCACGTAATGATTTTGTATGCTTGCAGTGGTTGGTGGGAAATGTAGTTCAGAGAGATGATGCTCTCTATGCCAGAATGAAACAGAGGGACATTGATGCTCATGACTCGATGTGGGAACCGATCTTTGTGGACGATGCAGCAATAGGACTAGGGGAACAAAAGAATAAGGTACTGGATTAACAGTCCAAAATGGATAACATGCATTGCACTAAACCTCCATTAATACTCAACCAGAACAAACGTCACACTTGTTTTCACTTTTTTTTAAGTAGTAATCATGACCATCTCCAACGCCACTGTCTTCCCCTTCTCCCTAATATTTTACGTCAAATTTGCGCATCGAAGAACAATGCATGACAAGTCTGTAGATACTTTCTGTAATTACTTTAGCCATTGATGCTGACATGTAATAATACCTTTTTTTAATAAAATGTATGAATTCCCCACAAAACACAATTAACTTAGGAAAATAAGCACTTGAGTCGCAAAGAGTGAAGTGGAAAGAAAATAGGATTAGCTCAAGATTACACTGCGGCTGCCAGATATGAGAGCTTTAGTATTCAGTCGAGTCACTGCTTGCGAGAGGCTTTGTCAGGATTCATAGCTACACGACTCACACATTTATTAGTATTGATTTAGGGAAGAATTACATGATTGATTAAAAGACATTCAATAACAATGAGGAACAATTTCACATTTAAACCCATCACTGGAACTTCCTGTAACATCCACTTTTCTCTTCATCGCTCTTTTTCCCCCTCATCCCTTCTTTCATCAGAACACCTGGTTGTGTTCTTGGGTCCACTTTGGTTGGGTCTGCTCTCTCATTAGTTTGTTCGCTTGTTTATTATTATTGTGTATATGCTTCTTTGTTGTGTCTGAACAAGTGGGTGGAGTTGAGAAGGCCGTGACTAAGCGTGGTGTAGCAGTCAAGGTTTGTTGTGATGTAACATGCACCGTCAATGAAACTCAAATGTTTCAACGTCTAACGATGACCTATTGGATATTTCAGTGTTAAATTTTTGTTGCACACCACTGAGAGTTAAACGAGTTTGCGTCATATTATCATTACATAACTACGTACCTTGAGCTCAAGATTGCTCTTGTTGTCAAGTTGACTTTATATGCTTGTGTGTATTATTACAACCAAGAAAACTACAGGCAAAGCATGTAGCTAGATGAAAGATTTATTGACCACTCTGACAAGCTTACTTCTAATTGTAGATGGACCCCCACGAAAACATCCTTTTGAGCCCCTTGGAAATCAAGAATGACATGGGCACGTCGGAGCTGACCCTGGGTCTTGGTGACCCGCGGAGCACAATGCTGGCGTATGACAGCTCGGCGCTCCAGTACCGCAAAGCCGGCTTGGCCAGGCCCAACTTCGGACGCAATGCGCTGGAGCGCCACGTGGCGCAGAAGAAGAGCCGTCTACGGAGGCGTGCATCGCAGCTGAAGATCACCATCCCCGACTTGACGGACGTAAACTCTATCGACAGGTGGTCGAGGATGATCTTCCCCACCGTATTTTCCTTCTTCAACATCGTCTATTGGCTCTACTACGTCAACTAATGCTGATGGCGAGGGAACGGGTGGCGATGCCTCTATGCTGATAGATTTTCCAATGCGAGCAAGACTTTGAATTCCTGTCACACCCGAGCTACAGTCAGAACTGGGTCCATTTTATTTCAGAACACCTGAATTGCTGGCTAACACGTTAAAAACCGTAGAATGAAGAAATGAAAAAAATACATTTTCATACTGTGCCTGGTCAAGTATTTCAGTTTTGCTTCATAAATAGCTTATTTTTTAAAAAAGCTTTATTGTTTGTTAATTTTTTTTCCCCAAATATTGTTTTTGCAGCCATTATCTCAATATTTCAGATATTTTTTAGAGAATTATGTAGGCACTATGTATTAGTGTAAATTAGACCATCTCACTAAATACATGATTATAACAAAAGTGGTATGTTTTGATAAAATTTTTATAGGTTAATTGTTTTAACCTGGATGAAATGGTTTTATGATTAGCCAAGAATGTTCCATTCATCCTACAGAATTCCATAAATTATAGTTGAGGATTTGTAAATAAAGGTTTTTTAACTACCCATTTTTTATTTATAGAACGTTACGAGATTCTATTTATTAAGATATAACGCCATACTTCATTTATACTAGTTTCTGCCATTGAAAATCCTACTGCCAAATCCACAGTGTTACATAGTGTACATACTGAAAAAGTACTACTAAAATAGAGTACTATCTATTTTAATTCAGAAAAACTACCTTAGGTTTTCATTTGTTAAAATACGTTATGTTTTTCATTTTTTTTTAAAGATGTGTTATTTATTGAGTTGCTTCGATTTGTTTTGTAGTTGCTTGCATCAACTCTGAAATTTTTGAATGGTAACACACAATCCTGTTGGTCTAATTGTACAAAATTTAATGTGATTTTTCATTTTTATTTCCCCACCACTGCAGTGGTTTTCATTTGTAATATATTGACACTTGTCATTGTCGCCGTTCCGTTGCCTGATAATGGCTTTAAAGGCGACGCTTAAGGCAGCCACAGAGCCCGAACATCACTTGGAATTATCTGAAGCAAGGAGTCGCGTTTCCACCTTTGACTTTCACAATGAACTGTAAATATCTCTTGTATATGATTGTTAACATGTTATCTTATTTTACGAGAGCATTCATGGAGTATACTTTGTGTTTACATGAGGAATGGTACATTTCTGTTTATTACTTGAGGGCATTTGGGGGGGGGGGGAGTGACTTTAAATTTATTTGATTTAGATGCATGTATTTAAAAGCCATGTGAGAGAAAAGAGTCTGTCATGGAACTACCCAGAATACTTTGCACAGGAAACTGTTCAAACCATCCAGCCAGAGACAGTAATATCGACCTGCCATTTTAATTTCTTTGCGATAAAAGCCATTCGGTAGCTATTTAGCGCACATCTCTCCATGTATAAAAATCCTTCAGAAGTAGACGGGTTGAACACCAAAACACTCAACAGCACAACGTCTCTTTGGCGTCACTCATGAAGAAACACCACATTCATTTTATTAGCATGGTTTGTTATCCTTTGCTCAGTTATGGCTTGTGTTCTAGTTTTATGGGGATTTCCTATTTAATTTTATATGTGTAGGTTGGTGACAAACCTCGTGTATAACCAAGATATAATGGCGTCATCTCATTTCAAAACCGGTCTATTATGGTTGAATAATCTCCATAATCTTGATAGTCTTTTGTCCTGATATGATATCATTTATACACAACTTTTGCTAGAATACAAAAAGTAACAATAGACTGTAAATGAGGATAATGAACATATAAAATATCGATAGTATCCACATGGATAATGTTGCACGGCTGTAGTGGTTTATAAAGTGGCTTCTTGAACTGCAGATGAAATGTAACCAAACATGGGCACAGTATGCAATAAAATTTGCAGACTTTCGAATTCTAGCAATAGGTTACAATTATGAAAGAAATGAATATACAAATATATAGTATATAGCTAGCTATAAAGGGCAGCTGCAGGGATATCTGTTTCACACCTAGAGTACACACATAATCATTTCTACTACTGCTGCTACTGTTTGATAACAATTAAACCATCCAGAGGTGGAGATTTCAGGTGCAGAGAGTTCAAATCCAGACCAGGATTTTGTTTCAACCAACCATTTGAGTATAAAGGGTGACAGTCACAGAGTACTCAAGTATTTGGTTGAAACAAAATATTGGTCTGGATTTGTACTCTCCGGAGCTGCACTCTCCACCTCTGTAAACATCTAACCGATTTAATAATCACACTAGTTATTTCTTGGATATTTTCAAATTCATTCAAGTCAATGAAACAGTCGCGGTGGAATTTGAAGTTTCCCTTGTTAAAACCCATGCAGCCACTAACGCCATTGTGGTTCATCATTGACTATTACTCATAACCTCTTAACCCTTGCTAACATTATGCTACACTTAGTCTCAAATCTTTTCATTGCAAGCATTAAACAATATAAAATCACTGTTTTCAAACTGTCAGCAAGAGGGAAAAAAACTTCCTTTACTAAAAATTTGTTGTAATCATAGTTCACTGAACAACACGTAACATGAAGGCTATTCACATATATAATTAATATATATATATATATATATATATATATATATATATATAAATAATTTAAACAAATGATCCGATTGCTGCTTCCTTTTTAATTTATCGGCTCTACTTTCATGTGGATTGTAACAGCATTTTTATGCTGTCTGTTTGCGAGGTGTGTAACTTCTTTTCTATAATCATGGAAATCTTCCCTTTCCAAAAGCCAAAGTAAACAGCAGGAATTAGACAGGGCACCCAGACAAAAATAAGATTTTAAACCAAGTCTTCCTTAAAATATCCTCTTTGGTTCATTGTACGTCACATCCTGCATTTTAAGTGTGTCATGATTTGATTCGTGATCGATATCATTCCGTTGAAAGCTCATGGGAGTTTTACTTACACAAAAATATTCTGAGGGCATATTGAAAAATGACTGGTTCAGAGAGATAACCAATCAGATTGCAGAGGAGGCGGGTCCAAACAACTAGAGGAGGCGGGACCAAGACACTCCCATGAGCCCATTGCAATGCCTTAATATAAATACTGCACAGGTCTAGACAGCAGTGGATAACAAATGGTTTTGTAACGATGCAGACATGCCATGTCAATTATTTGTAGCCGCCTAAATGTTGGGAGGGTCCCTCCCTCATGTACCCTTAAGTGTGGGAGGGTCCCTCCCTCATGTACCCTTAAGTGTGGGAGGGTCCCTCCCTCATGTACCCTTANCCCTCATGTACCCTTAAGTGTGGGAGGGTCCCTCCCTCATGTACCCTTAAGTGTGGGAGGGTCCCTCCCTCATGTACCCTTAAGTGTGGGAGGGTACCTCCCTCATGTACCCTTAAGTGTGGGAGAGTCCCTCCCTCATGTACCCTTAAGTGTGGGGGTCCATGCTTGTGTACCCCTAAGAAGGAAGAGAATCCCCTTCATGTCCCCCTGAGTATCAGGAAGATTCTTGCTCATGTTCCTCCTGGAAAATATCCAACTAAATAACTGGGTTAAGTGTCAGATATGAAACTGGTTAATGTTTAATCTTATAAGAGACTGCAGCAGTTTATAAACTTCGCCGAATGATACTAAGAGTAAATCTTCATTTTGGATGATTCGTTAAATACATGTCGGAAATAAACCTGATATAACATTGAAAATGAATTATGAACGTTTGATTTATCATTACAATTATTATAGTTACTAAGTAATATTATGTTGTTGCTGTAATAGTCATGTAGGTACTGTCACAATGAATCTATTTTGTATGCAAAGAGTGTACATGCAATTACTGCACAGTTATCAGAACTTTGTGTCATCCATATCCTATACAGCCTGATTCATTGTGCATCTCATAAAAGTGCATAGCTGATTATAGATATGTACCTACATTTCTGAATACATGCAGTTTTATTTTATTTGAATTTTTTTTTTGCAAGTGCTCTATTGTAAGATGTTACCTGGGTATCTAGATTTGCCATCTCTTAACTATAATTTAGCAGGTAAATAGCTGTCTTAATATTATTGATGTAATTTTTAAGGGGGTCAGGGATTTAAATACTATGTTCCAATATGTTGCTAGCTGTATATATGAAATCTTCTGTGAGTACATATAAAATGAAACCGTATAATATTGTAAATATTAGAGAATTTCTTAATACGTTTTTAAACTTCCTAATTTGTAATATACCTAAATGTGAACAAAAGCAATTACAGATTTAATGGCCTATATATATGAAAAGTGTAGAGGGGAAGGCATTTTAGAGAATCTGTGGCTGTTAAATTGAAACTTCAAAGAGGAAGATGCAAGTCGCTGTGTGCGTGTGTGTGTGTGTGTGTGTGTGTACATGAATAACACCTAAAACAGGGTTATGTTACTGAAGAACAATTGCATTAAAATGCTTCCTTTTTAATTAATTCACTTTTAGTGCATTTTTCATTGTACCATACATTGCCGTTTCACCAGACATTCATATAGGTGTGTTCTTTTTGACGAAATTGAATATTGATGGTGACAAATAAGGAAGGAGACCAAATGATTCATAGTGAATGAGCCTTTATCTGCTTTCCATAATACACAAGATAGGATACATCCACCCCATTCAACTGAAACAATATATTTTATTTAAAAAACGTGTTGTTTTCAACATATGGATTTTATGCAGGAAACAAACATTTTGCATAATATTAAATCTGTTAATACTCATTTTTCATTGCTGATGTTTAGAGCATCTTATGATTTATGATTACATACTTGATGATTTTATTATTCATTCCACATCTAGAGTCAGTATATTTCAAAACCTGTCTTTCACAACAATCTAGCAGTATTTCCTGATGCTAATGGTTTCGCTGGGAATCCCACTGCCAGTCCACAGTATAGGTTCAAACATTTAAGGCTGAAGACATCACAGTGTGTTTTACTCATTTATTAATGGAATGAAATAAAAGCCACGGGTCCGAGAATGAATAAACAGGGTCCTTTAGATTTTATTGTTTGAGAGGAGAGTGGTCTTGCTCCTGTCGTTCATACTAAGCAAGCAGTTTTCTCAAACAACAAGGGTGTACCTAGAACCCATGGCCCCCCTGAGAAAATATCAACTTGGACCCCCCCCTGCTAGGGAGGGGAAAATAATGTGGGTCCCCCACAGGGGTGGGAGGGCAACTGATACAATTTGCAGAGCAGAGGTAATAATATTTCCCAACATATAACTGATATATTTCATATTTATGGACCCTATAAAATGCCCCCATATCTCCCAATGTATCGAGCCCCCTCCCCTCCTACCCACCTGGGTCTGACCTGTCCTAAAACTAAAACCTTATGCTACATCCCAAGTATGGGTTACTAATCAACCCGCAAAAAACAGTCCGACTCCTAATCCAGTGGTTCTCAAACTGTGTTAGCAGACCAAGCTAATATGCTGTTTGTGCTGGGAAAAAAAATAATAGGAATTTAAAATTGAAATCAATGTAAAATTACTTGATATAAAAAATAAATTTTCAGGTTGAATAAGATATTAATCAACCTGAAAAGCAAGTTCACCCCCCTCACTGAAATGGTAAGTGCTGTTTCTTTTCTGTGTGTGTGTGTGTGTGTGTGTGTGTATATACTGTATATACGCGCACATGTATTCAGGTCACTGTGATTTTTTTCACCCATGTGGCACTTGGTGGCTTTGATTTCGAAGTGATACTTGCTCCACATCTCTTGAAAACCATTGCATTAATCCGTTCCCACCCATACCGATATTCTTTGCGAGGAACTCTTTCCAATGATTCGTTTCATTCGCGTATTTAATTTTCATTGGTATAAATTAACACCACAGGTTTCATCAGTCGCCCTTTTGTACGTGATTAATACTGCTTGTTTTCTAACACAAAAACACAATGTGAACGTTGTTGGCATTCACCTTGGGGTTTATGTTCTCGCCGGGTTCGAAAAGGGCTGGAAGTGGCTCAGCTGAAGTACTGACTGTACAATTAATACTTTCTGAAAGGACAAATTATAAATAAAACACAAAGATATTGCAGCCAATCTCCGCATGTAAATATGATTTACTGTCAACTAGTGTGTACTTTTTGAAATTGAAATGCAATATAAATAAAAGATATTTAACTGAATGTGGCTTAAGCGAGAGCTTCTTCAGAAAGGATTTCCTCTTGGGGAGGGGAGACATATAGAGGTTCCTCATATAACCCTCATTTTCATGGTCATTCCTGCAAAGACTGCAAAACACATTTTCCTGACAAACAGAGCCGGTCCACCCATTAAGCGACATTCGCGGCTGTGTGAAGCACCATCTTCTGAGGGGGAATCAGCTTAGAAAGCCGAATTCCCTTTGTCTGCGACGGGGGGGCGCTAGCAGTGAAAGTTGCCTTGGGCAACACAAGGCCTTTGACCAGTACTGCTAAAAGTCAAAAAGAAAATCTGTAAAGAGTTTGGCCATTTTGGTGTGAGGTCTGATACGTGCAGCACGTTACTCATTGTGTCAACATATACTGAACCACAGTCGACGCTCCAAGGTTCACACTCAAGATATTGAGTATCTTCAGAAATATATCAGAATCGATATTCATTGCACTGAGCCTGACCTTGTGCGCTGGGTAATGTACTTTCTCTTACTGGTTACCTTGTGCAATATCAGTATGTTGAATATGTCGGAAATGTAGCTATAAGAATGGCATTGTCTGAGCAAATGAAAAAAATGTAGCCAGCAACATAGGCAATACGCATCCCATCTGAGTGTTTTTCCCCTTCCAATGAACAAATACTAAACAAGCAAACAAATACTTAAATGAATAACAAACAAACAAATGAATGAATAACAAACAAACAAATGAGTTGTTTGATTATAGTAAAGACTCAAGTTTAACCCTGGGGAAAATGTAACACTATTTCCTTTGTATACGTTGTCTGGTGTTAAACATACCTACATGCCCTGCTACTCTCTAATTAAAAAGGTCATATTCAAATGTTTTGGTGCCATGTTTGTGATATTAAATCAAGCCGTTTGCTTTGTGACCTCATCTTTTTCATCTTCGCCTGGTTTTACTTCACATTTTGAAATCCATTTCTCACAATATGGAGCAGCCTTTGAATAGCCCGATGTATTAAGTTTGCCCCTCTCTCTGCACATTTGTGGGGCTATATAAGTGATATTTAACAAAAGCTCTTTTGCATTTTTTTTTTCTGTGTTCTTCAATGTGCTGAAAAAAATCCTTTCATACTGCAATGACTCCTGCGTATGAGGTGAGCATGTCTATTGTAGCTTTGTGTGGGCAGATTCTGGAAAAAAAAAAAGAAGAAAAATGGTTTAAATGCCCTAGAGGAGCAGGTCCTATTGGATTCTGCATGGAGGGATTAAATCCCAGGTTTGGAAAAACCCTGTCCTTTCTGGATGCACCATCTAGCCAAGCATTTCTACTTAAACACTTAACGCAGAGGTGAACCGTCGACCGGGGTTACGTAACTGCACTTGTGTCGCTTTATGCTGAAAAGTAGCCATACTGACCTTTTTCAGTCACCCCAGCTGACCAGGAGTCACATGACATCAGTCACTTGTCCGTATC